GGAAGGAGAGGAAGGAGAGGAAGGAGAGGAAGGAGAGGAAGGAGAGGAAGGAGAGGAAGGAGAGGAAGGAGAGGAAGGAGAGGAAGGAGAGGAAGAAAGGAGAGGAAGGAAGGAAGGATCTTTTAAAGTTCAAATGACCAGAATTTTGGCCTATGGCTGGTTCCCAAATCTTACATACGGACAAGCAGGATCAATGCACCAGCTTCACTATTTTAGAATTGTAAAATAAAATAAAATAAAATAAAATAAAATAAAATAAAATAAAATAAAATAATTTGCAAAAATCTCTTTTGCAGAACAGATTCGCTGCTGGAACAAGAGGCGTCTGACTTACGCTGCCCCAGTTGCCGACGCGCCAGGACGCCGAGACAGGGCACTCGCCGAGGTAGCAGGGCTGGATGTTGGGTGGCTGCGTGCCGGGGCAGTGGACGGTGCTCTGGTAGCCGTACTCATAGTGGTCCTTGCCCGTGTAGATCTCGCTGCAGGACACGAGGCGCTGCCGGTAGCCCTTGCCGCACGTCACGGAGCACTGCGGGGAGAGGCCCGTGTCCGTGTGCCCGCCCGCGCCATCCCTGTGCGCGGGCACATCCCTAGGCGCGGGCGGCGCGCGCTCACCTCCGACCACTCGCCCGTGATCCAGACGTACTCGCAGGGCGGCAGGCGGCAGCTCTCCACGTCGGCGGGGCGCGCGGCGGCGTCGCAGCGGCCGCTGCCGCCCGCCCGCCCGCGCTCGTCCACGCACAGCACCCGGCGGCGCCGCGACGCCTCCCCGCACGTCTTGGTGCACTGCTCGCAAGAGGGGAGCAAAGGGAAATAAAGGGGGAGAACAGCCACAAAACGGCTCCGCGCTTGACCACTCTCCCCACCGCCTAGGGGCAACCTCTCCATCAGTGTTGGATCCTATTAACCCGTGTTATCCAAGCACGATGGTTCCACTACCTCCTCCAGACGCTTGAAGGACCTGGACCACTTGCCCCTTGGCTAGGGGAAAAACTCCCAGGGTTATGCAGCTGTTCCCAGTTCCCAGGAAAATCCCAGGGTTATGCAGCTGTTCCCAATTCCCAGGAAAATCCCAGGGTCACGCAGCTGTTCCCAGCTCCCAGGAAACCCTCACTCCATGGCCAGCATCCCTCGACACTCCTCATGAAACCAGCAACAAAACAAAATAAACCAGGGCAAGAGCAACTAGCTGGAGAAAACAGTGGTTTTGTTTAACTTCTCATCCACAAGGGCCTGCCAACACTTGCAACTAACTGGATTAACCGGGAGAAGAATGCGTGAAAGCAATCGTTTCATGGAACATGCGGAAAAGTCTTTCCCTAAGGAGAGGGGGGCTGGCAATCACACCGCTGGTTTTTTATTTGGGCAAAACTCTTGTTTTAAGTCACCTCACTTGAAGTCATCTCAGATGAGGGCACCATGGCTATTTAGGCCGCAATCTGCCACCACAGCCTTGTAAGACTTCATCTGTTCAGAAACAGGACAGTTCACCGAACTGCCCACAAGAGAAAGGCCCACTTTTTCACTTAATATGAGGATGGATTTTGTAGGAAAATGTGCATTAATGGCTGATCTAAACCTCATATAAAGCAAAAGGGTTGGGGTTAATCGCCATCGATAGCAAAAGCTGAAAAAACAGGCCAGACGTTCAAAAAGATTTGTCTCTTTTCTCCCATTTTCAAAATGTTGAACTATTTTCCTGGCAATTCAGATTAACGACTTCTTCAAGCAGCTCTGAAACTGATTTAAGGAGAAGTAATAACCTCAATTAAAGAGAAAAGGAATCTCTCTCCATTTTCCTTTTTTTTTTTTTTTTTCTTTTTTTCTTTTTTTTTTTTTCCGTTCTGCTCCCTGTTTTACTTTGCCATTAGCAAGGCCCCTTCTATCTTTCTTCCTGCTGGTGTGGCCACTGAGAAGGGCTAATTAATGGTGATACAACAGCAGACCAATAAACTGTTTCCACTAAGTTCCCCATTGCTTTTCAACGGCAAGACCAACTCTTCTTTTGAAACAACAACAACCAAAAAAGGAACAATAAAAAACTCTTGACAGCTTCCCTTTAAAGACAAGAAATCAAGAACAAAACAGCACTGGAAAGCTATTTTGTATCCTACCTTTCCTGTCAATTAGGGTTCATTGCCATTACTTGCCTAGGGAATACTAATGAAATCTGGGGTTCCTCATCATAAAGAACAAGCAGCCTATAATTATGGCTGTGGAATATGTTCCTTTTTTTTTTTGTTTGTTTGTTTTCTTTTCACTGTTAAAATGAAATAAATAATAAATGAAATAAAAAGTGATCCAAAAAAAAAAAAAAAAAAAGGATTGGATGAGATTTGCAGCCCGTTGCTGGTTATGGTCATTTATGGACAGGTAAAACTTCCAATCCTTCAAACTAACAAAAATTCACAGGGTGATGCTCCCCCTTGTGCTGTTGCTGGCACCGTGGGAGCTGGTGCCTTTACAGCATCCACTCGCACAGCTCCTCATGTCCCTCTGGGCTGCTTCATAAACACCTCCGAAATGCATCTCTAAAACTGGAATGTTCCTGGCAGTCCCTTCAGGCCTCAGGTTTTATCGTCACTACATCTGGATTTCAGCAGCAGGTCCCAGTGCCTGAGGCACCCAGTGCCTGTGCGGTGGATGCTCGGGGACCCTGGACATGGCCAAACGGCGCCTTCCCGAGCACACGGCACCACAGGTGGGATGTTGGGCAGCTAATCCAGCAGGAAGCCTCCCCATGGAGCATTTTCTCCTTCCTGGAAGGAGAGACCTCTCTGATCTCTCCTCTCCCTCCTCCAGCTCAGAAAGCTCAGGCTCTCCCCGCTTCCACCTCAGCAGTGTTTCAGCTAGCAGAGGACCACGAGCTGGGAAGACCAAGCTCCATCAGGTCCTAGAGGCCCGGGTGTCCCCCCTCCATTGGAATCATCTCTGAATTAGCTCCAACTCATCCCCGCAGGATGGGATTGCAGTCCCCCAGCGGCACCCCCCCGGCGTGGAGCCCGTCCCGCTGCCCGGGGGCGCCCCGCTTACCGCTTGCCATTCGCCGTGGTGCCAGCGGTACGCGGGGCAGGCGGCCAGGCGGCAGGGCTGCTCGCCCGCGGGCCGCAGCGCCGCGTCGCAGCCGCCGTCGCGGGGGCCGCCGTGGCAGCGCACGGGCCGCCGCCGCACTCCTCGCCCGCAGGACGCCGAGCACTGCAAGAGGGACAGCGCGTGAGCGGCAGCGCCGCGGGGACATCGCCGGCCCCGCGCCGCGCGGGAGCCGCGTCTGCGTGGGCGGCGTGCAGGGTGCGGGAGTCCCTGGAGAGCGCGGCATTCGCCATGCACTCCAAAGCAAGGACAATTTGGGATACTCCCGGTGCTGCAAACAGAATTCTAGAAAAGCAAGCTTGGATTACACAGAAGAGGAGCTGCAGCAACGACGAGCTGAAGGTACAATACAACATGCCCAATTTTCTGTTAACATGCCATAACACACAGTGCACAAGTCAGCAGGACTAGGGAAACAAATGTCTCCTAATTTATCTGCTCTTTTTCATGATTGCTTCCTCACTGTTGGCACCCTTTTCCCTACTTTTACACAGGGAGAAAAACCTAGGTTCCTCTACATTATCATCTATACCACAGTGCTTTTAACGTCTTGTTTTCCTTCTTTTGCTCAATACTTCTTCCTGTTGCACACTATGATAAGTTTAGTGCTGCTTAGTTTGCTATGGGTTCTGTCTTGCGAGATCATAAAATATTTTGCAGATGCAGACGGAAAAAAAGAGCTTTTGCTTAGAAAAGATGGTGGGTAAAAACCAGGAGGCACGAACTTAACGCACAGCTAATACGAGTACCCCTTTGCTGACCGAACAATTAATACACGCAACCTCATTAATGCAGGAGGAACCAGGAAAATATAGCCAATTATTGCAGTACCTATCAAAGCAAGTGCTGTTAAGGCAAGGGATTAAGCGGCGCGTAATGGGGAAGCATTTCTCTTCCGGCTACTCCTGCAAAGCGTTCCTCTGTAACGCTCCGCTTGCTCCGCTACCCGAACGCACCCTCCAGCCAAGCGGACTCAGGGACAAGCTGCCTGTGAACATGCTCCTGGCTGCAGGTATTTTGGATTCAGGGGTATCTAGAGCCTGCAGGTTTTTTTTTTTTTTTTTTTTTTTCCTCCTCTTTTGCATATAACTTGGAAAAACAGAGAGATTTCTGTTGGGGCGATGCAAAGGCTTCTCCTCCGCTGCGGTGATGGATCGCGCTGCTTGTCCCAGGCGTCCCGCCAGGGATGGATAAGCCGAATAACGCACTCCAATGTGGAGGAACTCGCTGTGGGACACGCGCTGTTCTGCGGTGCTTCTCGCTTTGCATCCAGCGCCCACCTCCCCAGCGTCCATCCGAGCGGGATGCGGAGCACAGGGGAAGAGCTGGCCCCGGCGTGGGGACAGCGGCAGGGCCAAGGAGAAGGACAGCGGCAGGGATGCAACACACCCTGGCAGCAAAGATGCTCGCCCACGGGGGACCACAGGTGCGTGTGCCGGGGGGCTCGAGGGCTGCGGGGGCTTTAGAGCACGCTTGGTACCACCAGCTCTAATGTGACTGGGAGAAATAACCCACAGCACGGACCCCAGCCCTAAGGAATAGCATGGGGGATGAGTGCAGTGCTGGGGACACTGGGGCTGAACTGGTGCCACAATTGCCATTGCTGCAATACTAAACCCCTTGTAAGGCAAAAAACTGGCCAAGCTTTGGTGAAATCTGGCAATTCGAGGCCACAGGAGCCTTCCTGGCACATCCACTCTGATCCCGGATCTGCTTTGCTGGGGAGACTCTGGCTCTGCTGCTCCCACACTGCTGGGCTTATGGTTGGGTTCAGACTAACAGGATTGTGCTGTACGACAGCAGCAAGGACGTTTCATCCCGATAGCTTTATTCCACTATGCTGCTCGGGCAGCTTCTCTCTGCATTCCAGAAATGCAACTAGCCGGGAGCTGAACATCCAAAGATCCAAAGCTATAGAGCTCAGCAAGGGGGTGACTCTAATATATCCCTCTACGGGATCCTATGAGCCAACCAGTTCGTTTACCCCTTCTGCAGATGTTTTTTTAGGATCACTCTTTCCCTACCAACAAAGTCAATCTTGGAACTGCAGCATGTGAGCTCAGCTACGGAGAAGCACTACCGTACAGAAACACAAGGCTAGATTTCAGACCTGAACTGAAATGAGTAAATACCAGAGAGCAGAACAAATATTAGTATTTTTACTACATGAAAGGCAAATGACCATAATTGATACCACTTAGGAGACACAAACACATTAAATCTGACATTTCGGTGCAGACGTAAGCATGTTTAAAGCCTGCGGAGAAAAATCTTTCCTCTTCCCTCTTGATTAATGCAAATATTCCAAGTGCTTTGCTGTTGGAAGATGGATTCATAGCAATCTAGGGAAGCATTACCCTGATGCCGAACATGCGGAGAGCAAAGCAACGGGGATGGCGCTGCCGATCGGAGCGGCCGCAGCTCGGCTGCCTCGCGCGCTGCAAACGCTGCCTATTCTTAGCCCCGTCATTAGCACACAAATATTCTTTAATTGCCTCGTCACAAAAGATTACCCCGGGCCATAAATCACCTCATCCTCCTATTAACTTTGGCTTCTCTCTCCCCGCGCACAAAATTACTTCCAATCACGCGGTGGAACGCTTTGAATTTTAAAACACCTATTTTTATCAATTAAAATTAGCATATTTTAAAGCAATCGACAGACCATTACATTATTATAGTTAGAATTAGTAGCTGTAAAAAAATTGCTTTGGGGAGTAGGCACTTTAAATAAGGAGCGAATTGGATATGACAAGACTATTTAATGGCCTCGGGTTTCTTTCCATTTTCCCAATGTGGCTTCTTGTATAAAATTAAGGTTTCATTCCTGCAGATTATAAAACAGGGTCTTAACCTTCAATATGGGTGCAGTCCTGCTCAGTTCAGCAGGGCTACAGCAGGGAGCCCCTGGGGCCTTGGAGAAGACCTAAACCACCTAAACTCCATGGTGAAAGCCACCCTTATCCCATTACACATGGAAAGGCAAATACTGCCATCCTACAAATTCTAAGGTAAGAGTAAAAGACAAATGCAAATGTGAAAATAATCATAAAACATCAATGGGTTTGTTGTCTTTTTTGGTATTTGGCATTTAACAACAGTATGATATTCTAGTACTAATATTTACGTGCGTGCATGTAGATTTGCTAATGGTTTACATTTTAGGGAATTGCATACAGTGAGAAGTGGGGATTTGTATCTTAATTTGGAAGACAGACTGCAAGGGAACATGATGTTTTACAACTTAACAGGTCATTTAGTCTGGGATTTTCAGTAATTCCGCTGATTAGCTCACTACTGAGTTAGAGGCAAAATTGAGATTCAGAGCTAAAAATGTGATGCAGCAGATTCAAGGTGCTGACAATTCTATCACTTTCAGAAAAACAAGGGCTCAAGACATGCTCTCAGCAAACAAGCTCAGCTTAATAACTCTGAGCGCTTTCACATTTCCATCAGTCTCTGCTCTAAGCATCAAAGCACCTGACTTTTTAATGAAGCAAAACTAAGTGATGAGCTTGTTGAGAAACAAAAGGTAGCAAAAAGCATTTTTAATGAGTAACTCTGATTGCTCTGTAGGCTTTCCAAGGAAGCTGATAATAAAATTAACCTCAGTTTTCTCAAAACTAAGAAGGATTTTGCTTGAGATGTGACATATTTAAATATTAACAATATTAAAAGCATGATTAATAGTAGATTTTCTTTAATGTTACGTCCTACTGGGTTGTCTAGCAGAAGCTAGAAGTACACAGCAAGGAATTTGCTGTCAGTTGGACATAAGGAGTAAGTTTTCATGTTCTCAGCTGGTACAAATCAGTGCTGCCTCGCTGCTGCCCATGAAGCTACACTGTTTTACACCACCTGCAGATCTGGCCCAGAACATTTACCCTTGAAAAATTCAAGAGGACAGAAGCGAGGGGAAAAGCAGTTTCTAACCAGTCTGACAGCTGCGGAATATCAAACGATGCAAAAGTGCGTCTCACCTGTCCCCAATCTCCCGTTTTCCACTTCGGACATCTGCCCCCTCTGCATTTCTTTTGCACATTGGGTTTAGCAAGGTGCTTGCAATAATCTTCTTCTACATGCCTCCCTTCCTTTGACAAACAGTACACAGCTCGGTGCTTTTGACCCCTTCCACAGGAGACAGAACACTGTAAATATAAAGTAACAAGAATCAGCTTTCAGACAGGGCTGTCTACATTGATACACACAGGCCAGGGCTATATAGCGAATTCTGCTCCACCTGGACCAAAAGGGCCATCACTGGGTGCCCCGACAGAGCTTGAGGGGGACAAAACAGGTCAGAATCGAACCCACTGGACATGCTCCCATTTGCCTTGGGTACTGGACCGCATTCTTGGTCAAAATCCCTCCAAAACGCCAATATTGTCATAAAACAGCTGGCATCCAGCAGGACTGGCAGGGTTTAGGGGCACAGGTCCTGCAGCTGCTCGGGTGGTTTCAAAGGGGCAGCGCCAGCTCACGGGGATCAAGGCAGGAGCCCTTAGTATCTCTAAGAAGAGCTTGAAAGGGACCCTTTCCCTTCACCTCAGTACAGAGGGAAGGACATGCTGGCAAATCGGGAGGATACAGCACGATATGCACCTTCAAGAGGGAAATAACCGCACAGAAGACAAGGCAGAGGAGAAAAACAGGGGCTTTCCACATCCACAGTATTAAAATTCACGTCTATTTTATTCTATAGCAAACGCTGCAGACCGATTTTCTTCTTTTTACTAAACAAAGACAGAAACAGGACATGCTCACCCATAAGATTTATGCGTTTTGAAAATGACTCGGAAGAAGGCAAGAAGGCAGAGCACAGAGAATCAAAGCAGAAAGCAAATCAGCAGGTATGTTCACTGCGAGCTTTGTAGTGAAGCAACTAATTTGAACCTCCCTCTGCAGGTTCACTGAACTTTCTCAAATGTGACCACTTCTGGCATGCAAACCCCAAGCAACTTCACTTTGATTTCAGATTAGTCTCCTCCAAAAGATTTAGGAATCAAAGGGGCCCGGAATCACGACAAGAATTTAATATGACAGTTTCTTGTTGAACAAGCCTCTTACTCAGCATGATGCACCCAGGGACTGTTTCAATTTCTTCATTACAATGTTATGCAAGTCATTACATGCTGCATCACCAGCATCCTGGTTTAATTCTTGGGCACAAACAGCATTTCAGCCATCTTTCAATATAAATGCTCTGCTTTCTTTTCAGAACGTCGGAGACGATGCTCTTTGCTCCTTTTTGGAGTCACTCCATCCATAGATTTGCTCAGAAATAAATTACAGGCCAGGGTCTTCCCAGGCTCTGAATACAGTTGGAACCTAACAAAATACGGATTATATATGCAGCAGCTCTGGAAGATCCGTTACACTCCAAATTGGCATGTGCATTGACAGCTGTGATTATTTTAAATTACAGCACTACTTCCAAATCATTCATCCCCTATGGTGTTAAGAGGTAAACAAAGAAACACTGAGAGCGCAATAACTCGTTCCAAAGGCTTACGAAAGGAAGAGTTTAGACAAATGAGGCAAGAAAGGGATATAACTCATAAGGCTGTTGATGCTTAAAAGTATGTATAAGCAATGTCCTGAAAAAGGCATTTTTCCTGTTGCAAGAGCCGTTGTGGAGCCACAAAGCCAGCCAACTTCCCTGAAAATCAATGGGATTAAAAGGCCATTCATTAGGCGCCTGCCCCAGCGCAGATCTGGCCGTGGGAGCCCGACCCTGCTCTGCATCCGCAGGGATGCTGATGCCTGTCGCACTCCGGAGATGCCGTGCTGCATCCGAGAAGATGCACTGTGGCCAAAGATGGGAGAAGGTCACCTGCCATTTCCCAGCACTTTCAGCTTACAGGGCTATAAATGTCAGCAGCAAGATGGAGCTGTCAAATACAAACCCAAGTAGAAACTAGTCTTTCCATCCATCTTTGGGCTAGGCATTAACACTGATACTTTTCATACGAACTGACCATCAGTAAACGCTCTCCAGATGGCTTGGCACTACTATCTCTAACACAATATTCACAGCTAAAGGGACACACAGGGTGGCAGGCGCACAGCAGCACACATTGAGTCCGAGGCATCATTGGACTGATTTCCATAATACTGAGATATAATTCTCAAGACGCTGCAATCAATCATTTTTATGCCTGTCTTTAATACAAATTAAAGATGGGCAGCTGTGCCTTTTTGGATCCCAAACATCCATTTGCTTTCACATACATGTGAGTTATGGGCTCATTTGCACTGACAGGAAAAGGAGGTCGAATAAATCTAACACAACCAATTATTAGAGACTGAAAACTCCTTTACAAAGAGTCTACCCCATAACTGCCTTTTAATTCTTCGCAGGTATTTTCATCTTCTGTTTGGCAGGCAGAATTTAAGCATGTGTAGGCCACATGCAGAAAATAGCTTAATAGAGCACTCCATCTCTGTGCCATGTGACTTAGGAAAGCAATATACCTAGCTGCTCCAGTTGGCCTAATCATTTATTTTTGACCCTGGAAGAACTTTGCATTTCATTAACCAAACTCTTTTCATCACTGGAAATGCTGCAGCTGCTCAGGGTAGCTATCAATAACGATGCCATGGTGAGGTAAGCTTTGACCTTGGCTTCTTTAAAGCATTTGAAAAGCAGAGACAAAAACACTCCTTTCAGAGGTTTCTTTCTTTCTTTGGTTGCTTTCTCTTTTTTTTTTTTTTTTCCTTCCTCTCCTGTAGAAAGTACTTCAAAGGATTGGGGATGGCGGGTGGCTCCCTGTGGAATAGCAGCCTCCTCCTAGGATCTTTGAAGTCAACAGAAAGACTCCTACTGGTTTCAATCACCTCGGGATCCAGTCCTGAGCGTACACCCAAGGTACTGTACTGGTATTTTTGCCTCCCAGGGTTAAGGATCCCGTAGACGCAGAGATGTCCAACACCAGCCTGCCCCAAACGCTGGGCAACGTGGCTCTGCAACGCTCCTTCCAGCCTATGGCAAAGGGATTTGGCCCAACAACAACCACCGCCACGCTGGGGTGAACCCTGGGGTTCTCCTTGCAGAGCCAGGGACACGGTGAGGGTGCCGTGGGGCAACTGGTGGCCACGCAGGGCACCGGTGCAGCCTCCCCAGCCCTCCCGCACTGATGAAGATCCATCATGATGAAGGTTCATCTCCTTCATCAAGACCTCGCTAAAGCAGCAAGGCTGCGGCCTGATCCCAAAGCTTCTCCCTCGCCAGCAAACTGTCCATGGGAATCTAGGCAAATTCTCTGCTAAAAAGTTTCCAAAAAATGCCGTCAGGCCACTTCTCCAGGCCTATGGTTTGGGAGGTATTCGAGATAACGAATGCAAGCTGTGGTGATCACCAAGCAAATTTCCTGAGATAAGCGCAACTCTGATAGCTCACGAAAGGCAGGGGAGGAGAATTAGCCAAAAAACATCTTTATCAGATTCTGCCAGGAGCGACTTTTTGAAAGGAAATTAAATCAAGTCTTGTAGGCCGAGATTTCCACGCATTTGTTTGCTCTTCCCAACCAATTGAGCCAAAATGCACAAATGTTCAGTGGAGCAAAGAGAGGGAGACGAGGCGGCCCCACGCTGCTGCTCCTCGCTCGCACGTCCCTATTGCATCAGGGCCACGCTCCTAAGTGTCGTTTTTGCATCTGCAAGCCCGAATCTGCATTCGGTATCCTATTACACACATCCCTCTCCTGCTATAACTTAAGCCCTCTTATCGGACGCTGGTAGCTTTGAAACTGCAGCCCTTTGACATCGCCCCTCTGGAGCCCAGATAAGCGGCGAGCGCTTCTCGCTGCTTAAAAGCATCCAAGTTGATGCACGCTATCCAGCAACAAGTGCTCCGTGGCACTCCAACGTTAATGCCATTGGCTTCAAACCTGCAAGGAGTGCAGCTCCGGCCTGATATTTTGCATGTATGCATGAAGAGCCTCTCTCCTACTTGAACATTTGCAAGGGGGAGAAATAAAACAACCTTCACCTTCCCCACCACCGAGACAAGCTGGAGCGACTGTGGAACGAGCAGGAACGACGCTTAGTGACAGGTAAAGAGGGTAAATTTATTAAAAAAAGGGGTTCAACCTAATTTGCTACAGCAGAAGGCTGCTGTGCTTGGAGCAAATTCTCTCAGACAGCAGAGATCGTCCCAGAAAAAAATGATTTGCTAACTCTGGTAACTCTTCCAAGGTCTAAGGTCCCAAGAACTGAAGGCAGTAGAATGGTTTTCTTTGAGCTTGGTGACATCACAGAGTAAGTGGGAGGAAATCAGGTAAGGGCAGCAAGAGGAGAAGCCTCACATCCTTCTATTGCCTCCATGTGCTCCAAAGCACCTTCTCCACCTCCCCAAGCACCCATGGGGCTGTAACACATGGAGCCTGCCTCAAAAGCAGTCTCTCTGCTGGCACAACCTATTCACCTTCTCTAAACAACAGAACAAAACAAAAAAAAAAAACTAGTAGAAAGAAGTTAACACCAGGTAGTGATCGCGGGTGTCCCCAGGGAAGGAAGTACTGGATACCATTTCCTCACATTAGGAGGAAATGCATGAGCTACTCAATGAAGCCAGTATAACGGGATGCAGAAGAGACTGATGAAACCTATTTTCCATGCTGTGGAACTTTTTAAAAAAATAGCAATTGAAGCAGCGAGCAGCCTAGGCAAACTGACACTTTTTAAATTTTTTTTTCTTTTTTTTTTTTTTTCTCCGGTGAACAGTTGTATTATAATAGCCTTTAGAAGCCTCCCCGTTTGTCCATGCTAGCTGCTGTGACATACACAATAAGCCAGCTCTGTTTCCCAGGTGGGCATCTCACCAGGTGTCTGCAGCAGCACAGAGCTTCCTGCTGCTCCCCAGCCTTATAAAGCAGATCTCGGCTCCACGCAGCAGCGATCAAACACTGCTCGCCTGCCTGCACGCAGTGCTGGGCATCAGAAGCGTTCTCACACACGCTGCTGGCTCGCTCGCCTTCCCTGCGGGCTAGTAAAAAGCAAAACATGGATCGCACGTTAAGACCTTTGGAAGGAGATGGACGAGGCTGTTTTTCTTTAATGACTGCCCCATCAGTCACTGTGCAAGTCAGAGGTGAAGCAAGTGCCCCTGTGCTTGATGTCGCTCATCATCACACGCTCCTGTTGCTAA